AGTTGTTAAGATATCGTCATAATTTTCGATATATATATACTGATAGATGAAACATTCTAGTAAGTAGTGACGTAAAAAAAAACTTTAATAAATGATTTATTATAAATTTGATCCGTTGTTTGGATCTGAGATTTTTGTGGTCAAAATATTCCCATATTTAGGACCTCGATTCTGGAAAAGTTTTTCCTCCTACATCAAAAATGCCAAGTCCATCCTATATAACAGCTACGGAAGGCTGCAAAACCACTTTATTGTAACATTTAAAATCATTTATAACCTTATGATAGATTTTTTAGAAATGTGTGCATTTTCTATATATATATATATATGACATTCCAATATGGCAGGCGTTACCTTAGCAACACCAAAGAATTTTCAAAATTTTACTAGATCTACATGACTTAATTCTCCACTCTTTTTATATATTGATGCTACCCAATGATGCTACTGCTACCACATTTGTAAGCTTAGTTTCTTCTCTTCTTAACGATTTTCAAAATTCTCCCCGCATCATGCCTTAAACCGGCAGTGGACGCTCCGTCTAAGTCTAAACGAAGCTTGAGTGCCGTGAACGTAGCGTCAACAGAGCCTGCAAACTGCATTCAGGGCGCCGTGAACGTAGCCACTGCGTATATTTTAATGCTTTTAAACATTAAATGCACTAATGCACAACTATTATTTTCTTTTAAAAAGTCACCTCTTCCACCGAAATGGGCATGCAAATTCTGTACTCCCTCAGCAACATCTTGAGAAACTCTTTGCTTCAAATACACCTCAGCTTGATGAGAAAATTGCAACCAATTATGTCACAGAAGCAGGCCAAACTTGATATGTGCAATGGCAATAGGTCACCAAAGAGAGTTGATGGACTCCAAAAGCCTAGATCTAGATTCTAGGCCTATTGAATAATTATATAATATTGCATTATAGGATAAAATGGCTTATAATTTCAATTTGTCCACTGTAGATCTAGATCTAGAAATCTTGTTCGGAGAAGCCTTAGTATAGAAATGGAGTAGATCTAGATCTAGACTAGATCTAATCTAGATTTAGATTTAGATTCTAATCTAGTCCAGATAGTGTCAGGTGCTCCTTATTATTATCGGCCTTTCATTATTATCAGTCAAGACATCTTCTACTTGTCAATGTCATACCATCCAACTGTTTCCAGTATTCTATTCTTTACAACTTTTGAAAGTCTACTTAAAAAAACAACAACATCTACACAACTGTCGATGTGTTGTGTGTCAGTGTCAACAGAATCGTGCTGAATTTGACTTATAATCGAACCTCATCCAAACCACTCAGTCAAGATTTGTGGAACCTGAAGACAGACACAGCCTTCAACAGTGTTTACAGTTTCCAATGTTCGCGTCGGGCTATACTCTAACACAGAAATCCTCCAAAGCATGTGCAACAAACCTGCGGCTGTTTGCACTGAACAAAACAAATCAAAGCCTTTCCTCTCAATCAACAACACCCTTTTGCCATTGATCCACACGAGCAAGCCCTTGTGTTTTGCACAATGGGGGTGAACTACGAGTTTCTAAGAGTCGTCTCCCGTCTAACAACACTTCCTAACCAAAGGGGGAAAACTGAGAGGAAAAAAAGATTGTGGAATTCATGGATTGGGTGGTCTCCCGGAAAAATCAAGGACCTTACAACAACCTTACTGTAGGCCTACCTCCTTGGTTTCTTTATATAATATTATTATGTGTCTTATCGTCTCTTTCTCTCTTTCTCTCTCTCTCTCCTCTCTCTCTCTCTCTCTCT